ATTTTCAGCTGTCAAAGCTATAAGGAAATAGGTACTATCCTATATTGCTAATGGAAATATGTATTTAAAACCCTCCTGAGGAGTTTAGGTTAGCAGCTGTCTATCAAATTCACTAATGTATTGTCCCCTTTGACCTAGCAATTCCACTTTTGTGAATTTATCCTACATATTTACTTACATACATGTAAGTAAAGTCGTTAGTTTCAGTCATGTTTGTAAAAGCAAAAAATGAGAAATATCACCTGGAGATAAATCAGCATGAACTCACTTAACTTAATGTAGATACACATATATTTGTAGAGTTAAGTGTATGTACATATACTTCTTAGCTCTGTCTGCAGAGAAGGCCTAGAAGCGACAGCATCCCAGTAGTAATGAGCATACCCAGGAACCAGGTCTTGATTTATAATTTAATTCTCCAAGAAAAGGAGAGAAGGCTTACTGTAGACCTGGAGCAGGGAACATAAAAGATGAGCCTGGGGGCATATTGTAGTGGCCAAGAGTAAATGCTCAAAAATCAAAATGATGGTTGGTGTGTCAATGAAATAGAGAAGCCAACTGAAAAGTTTCCAATGTCCAAAGTTGAAACAATATGAACAAAATAGCATGATAGTATTGAATTATAATCCAAAGTACAAAATTAACATCCACCAATCTATACTGATAGAAATTAATGATTTATATAAATAATCAGCAGTATGAAGTTTCCTCAAAACATTAAAAATAGAACAACCATATGATCTGGCATCCCCACTTCCGGGAATATATCCAAGTGAAACAAAAACATTAACTCAAGAAGATATCTGCACCCCCATGTTCATAGCAGTATTATTTACAATCGCCAAGATATGGAAACAACCTAAGTGTCCATCTATGGGCGAATGGATAAAGAAGTTGTAGTATATATACATAACCATGGAACATTGTTATTCACCCTAAAGAAACAAATCTCACCATTTGTGACAACATGGATGAAACTTGAAGGCGTATGCTAAATGAAATAAATCAGACAGAGAAAGACTAATACTGTACAATTGCACTTACATGTGGAATTTAAAACAAAAACAAAGAAACAAAACACCAAACCCATAGCAATTGTGGATACCAGAATGTGGAAGGTGGTCAAGCTACAGACTTCCACGTACAAGATAAATAAGTACTAGGGATGTAATGAACAACATGCTGATGACAGTTACCAGGTGTGATATACAAGAAAGTTGTTAAGAGAGTAAATCCTAAGAGTTCTCATCACAAGAATTATTTTCCTTTGTCTTCTTTTCTCTCTATTGTGTCTATATGAGAAGATGGATGTTACCTAAATCTATTGCAGTAACCACTGGACAATAAATCAAACCATCTTGCTGTGTGCCCTAAACTTACACAGTGATATATGTCAATTATTTCTCAATAGCACTGGGGAATTTTTTCTGTAGGGAAGGATGTGGGAAGTGGACGTGTGGGCAACAAAGGTGAGGAAGCCTTTTCACAATATACATTCACCTATATTTTTTGAACCATGTGAATATATCACCTATGCAAAAATTGAAATAAGTCAGACAGACTTATGGTAAAAAAAAAAAAGAATATATGACGTGAACAGTCCTATGGTTTGCAACCTCTTAGCTTAATGTTCACAATCTAGAAACAGAATAAAGGAAAGTAAAACATTTTCATGAATCTTCACATTCCAAATTTGACAAGATACTTCCATTTTATTTTTTTCTGTAACTTACAAATGACTCAAAAATATTTCTTTTATGTGAAATTTTATATTGTTGATATCAGTTCAAAAATGAGTTTTAAAAACTTGAGCAGGACCCATGCAACTACTCATAAACTAGGAGAGCGTGAAAGTACATATGTAAAATCTAACCAGAAAAAAGCAAGGGATCTAGTTTTCCCTTTGGGCAGGAAAAAAAATTCCCTCAAACCTTTAAACGTAAGAAGGTTATAGTTACCATCATGAAAGAATATAATCATAGGTAAGTGTGTCAGAGAAAGAGGTAGTCTGTTTATACTTGGACTCAGAGGAGGTAGAGTCCTGAGCACACAGTGAACATTTGCATCCAGCAACATCTTAACAGAAAAAGCACCGTAGAACATGTCTAGGCTGTTGGCTGCAGCGTGGTTGACCGTTAATAAAATTCTAACGTAGGAACTGCATTTTCTACTGACTCAGTTTCTGATCTGTTCCTTGTCTCAAGTTTGTGCTGCATTATCCACAAGGCATTCTGCAGACAACTCACCTGGAATCACATTGGATCAAAACTAAAAGATAATGCAACATAGGATTGTCTTAACAATATACATTTTGGGCTCTAGTTTTTCCAGGGTCTGACCAAGGACAAGCTGTTGAGTATTAGACTGGATATTTGACCCCTGTCCAGGTTGATGGGCCTAGATTGATTCTCCTCTATGTAACATGAATATTATCACATAGCCACAGAATACTTTTTTTGTTCCATGAAGTTTAATTATTTCCCCCTAAATAGGAATGATAATAATAGGTAACATTTGTGTAGGATTATCTTGTGCCAGTCAGTGCATTTGCTTTCCAAATACTGTCTAATTAATTCACACACAACCTTGAAATAGTTCTATTATTCTCCCCATTTTAAAAATGAGAAAAATAAATGAGATTTAGAAAGATTAAATAACTCCTTAAGGTCACAAGCATCAACCCCAGTTACTGAGAATTCATCCTTCCTACTGCTACATCAAATGTGCCAGCTTTGAGCTGACTCTAGAAAGCTCTATATACATGTAATATAGTAGTGTACATATTTCAGTTTACCAAGAGTTTAACATGCATGCCTTATTTGAGCCTCACAACAGCACCATCATTTTGAAAGTTAGTCTTATGTTCGTTTACAGATTTAGGAAATGAAACTTAGATCACCTAGCTAGTAAGTGGCAGTTATAAGGTACCATCTTACGTCTTCCAACTAATTATTCTAGCATGTTCGTTCATTATCCTAAATTTTCGAAGAATAACTTTGATTTCTAATAGCCCTTACTATTTAAATGGTTTAATCTTTCATATTTTAATCATATCACTAAATATGATTTTTAAAAGCAAATATTTCAGTTAGATAAGTGAAGTGATAACTTTCCTAATTTTTAAAGCCATTATCTATAGAAAGACATTAGACATAGAAAACAGTTTTAAAGTGTCAATTATATTTCAACATAAGAAAATAGTCATATAAATGTATTTTTGTGCTTGATACACGTAATTACATCTAGAATTATAATCATCTAAGAATTACTTTTTACTCCAGCATCTCTAATTAATACCATTTTAGTAATTAAATGATTCAGATTTTTAATCCATTCATTTTTGAATTGCTTTTATCCAACAAAGTTTTCATTTCTGAAGTTATCCCCAAACAGTTTCAAGTTTATCATAGGAAAAGAAATGTACAATAATAACTGAGCTTCCCTTAGAATGATACAGTAAAGCCCAGTTATCCAGCAATAACTTGTGTGTCTAACATGTATAAAAGAAAATCTGAAGGGGCGCTATGAGAAATGGACCAATTGTCATTCATCAAACCAGATTTTAATTGTTACACAGTTTTTTGCTTCATTCTCATTCCCACAGGTAGAAAAGAATCTAGACTAAACAAATTGCAAGTTAGTGTTCATCATGTCTTCCTAAAATTTTTAATCATTTTACTGTTATTTGATCAGTAATTTGAGGGCATAACACATCCCAGAGTGAAAGAGTAGCTGTGTTACCAGAAGTGGCTGGGTCCAACAATCTGCTTATGTTCTCATAAATCCTCTGCATTACCCACTCCGACCTCCCTGAAAGATGCACTCCATTAGCAAGAAGTAGAAAGTTTACTGCCGGTTTCCTAAGAGAGATAGAGGTTTGGTCCGGGAGGGTGGGGCTCACATTGAGCAGCACAGTGCTCCCCAGAGCCTTCATCCAGGCCCCCAGCTAACACCTCCCCCAACCCAAGCAGCTGCTCCAATCTCATCTTTGCCAGAGATTTTCAACTCTCCACCTCAGTCTCTTCAGTCTCATGTCCATACACTCATCACTTGTCAGTGTGTGTGTGTGTGTGTGTGTGTGTGTGTGTGTGTGTGTGTGATGGAAATAATATTTTGCCTGCCACAAATAACAATGAGCATAATTAAATAGGAAACGAAGATGGAAGTTCATATTTGTGTTATAGACACTGTAAATGTTGAGTCTAAGGCTTTTGACATTTATCTACTCCTTTTTCAACTTGACACATGCCATAAAAGATACTATTCTTTCTTGTTTGTTTTTAGTTGCAGGAGAATAGACCATAACCATTGACTTGTTTATTTTTGGTGATGGTGGAAAAGTGGTATCAGCCTCGCTCTGTGCTGTCATCTGGCTCTCACCACCACCATCAGGCATGCATTTGAGAAACAGCTTACATAAGTTATAAGTCTGTATCTTGGAGAAAAAAATATCTTGATGTTTTCCATAAAAATACATATTTCTGGCATCTAATGAAAATCTTCAGTCCCAAATTGCCACGTGGTAACAATCAGCCAAAGCCAAGTGTTGGTTGACTTTGTTAATCTACATTTTCAGCTCTGAGTTCAGCTCTCCTGTCTACAGTAACTGAATCCACCACATAGGTGTTCCTTAGCAGCTAATTCAAACCACCATTGTGTCATTTCCATATTTTCCTTTATTCTAAGATCATTTAAAAAGTATATTTTCCATTTTAAAGTTATCTTAGGTAGATTTTAATTATTTGTGCATCTTAAAATGGAAACAAAATCTTTAGACAATTGTATAGCATGACAGTAATTTATTATTGTTGGATGTGTCAGTTGCTGTTCTTTTACAAAAATGTAATTACTAACATATCATTAAAAAACAACATTGCTATTAGCATTGGCCTTACCAATATTGGAAAAGTAAATATTTGGATGTTAAGGACATCTTGAATTATTTTGTTCCCAAAACATCTATCAAAATAAGGCTTAAGAGTCTCTGGGTTTTATTTCAGCACTGCATATGTCCTTAGAAGACAGCATAAAATGGCTTGGAGAAGTTATGGCTGAAATAGGACCACCCCATTCACAGAAAAATGAAGAATGGAGTTTTTTTAATATAAAACAAGCCAATGCTATCATCGATTACTTAAAAATCAGGTATGGATTTTCTTTCAGTAGCATTTATTTTTCATTTCATTTTATTTTATAAAATGTCTGCTAAATAGAAACCAATTCAATTTTTAGACATTCACAGTATTTATGCTATAATAAGCCCAGCCAATAATGAGATAATATTAAAATCTTTAATCCAATAAATAAAATTCAGAACATTGAATTTTTGGCTAATCTTGCATTCTTAAAAAAAGGTTTGTGTTTAAAAAGTATAAGTTCATGTAGAATTACTTTTTTTCATGTAGAATTATAATAAATGATACAAAAATTTATTTTTTCTCTTAATCTCTAATTAATAACATTTTATTAATACATTTATTCTTTCACATTAATCCAACTTGATTACAATGGACTTTATATTTTAGGTAGTGGGACTTGACATCAAAATTTTACATTTTATTTTTTTTATTTTTATTTTTTTAAATTTTTTTTTCAACGTTTATTCATTTTTGGGACAGAGGGAGACAGAGCATGAACGGGGGAGGAGCAGAGAGAGAGGGAGACACAGAATCTGAAACAGGCTCCAGGCTCTGAGCCATCAGCCCAGGGCCTGACGCGGGGCTCGAACTCCCGGACCGCGAGATCGTGACCTGGCTGAAGTCGGACGCTTAACCGACTGCGCCACCCAGGCGCCCCAAATTTTACATTTTAGAACAACATTAATTTCCATTTAAACATTTATTTGAAATTCTTTGTGCTAGAAGTTAGAGAGGTATATATCCATGCTTCCTCAAATTTATTATGTGCCCTGAAATACTTTGTAGTATTAACCAATTAAAGTCATTAAGTTTTTCTCTGTGCTTAGGAAATTATGGTGAATTGAGGGGAAATATTTTTATTACAGTGATTCTTCAGTGGTGAACTAAGAAATTGGCCTTTTATATAATCTGTCACAAGGTCTGCATTAGAGGCATGCATCTTTCCCAAAGGACATTTTGAGAGTTTGCAAATATTTAAACAAGAGTTGGTAAAAAATCTGTCTTTTGCCTAACTAAAAGCTTCTGCAGAATATCTTTTTTCCTCCAACACTATACACTGCAGTGTTTTCCAATTTTAAATTTTAAAATTCCAAAATAAAGGGTGCTGCATGATGTCCTAGACATGCTCATGATTTGCTTGGCAAGGATCCTGGCTGTAGTCTGGAAGCTTTTTAAATATTAATGTGTTTAATATGATAAGGTTTATATGCTGGTTTCTGGCATGAATTAATAATAGAATATGATATAAAATGTTTTTATATAATAGCATTGGATATAATTTGATTTCTTTTTTTTTTTTTTAATTTTTTTTTCAACGTTTATTTATTTTTGGGACAGAGACAGAGCATGAACGGGGGAGGGGCAGAGAGAGAGGGAGACACAGAATCGGAAACAGGCTCCAGGCTCTTGAGCCATCAGCCCAGAGCCTGACGCGGGGCTCGAACTCACGGACCGCGAGATCGTGACCTGGCTGAAGTCGGACGCTTAACCGACTGCGCCACCCAGGCGCCCCTAATTTGATTTCTTAATGTAAAATATATACCTCCTAATGTGTGTCTTCGCTGAGAGCTGCAGTACCCTTCATATCAATTAGAGTAAAGCAAGGTCCCTGTGTTGGAGGCAGGAAGGGAATGGAAATACAGAACTGGAAACCTTGCTCCCCAAGGTCTTTTTGCCCATCAGAGTTTGGTAATCCCTAGGTGAGGGGAATTTTCTGCATATTTGTATAGCAACCTTCTTTCTCTTCTTTATCTATTTGAAACTGCCAGGTTTCTCTTTGAAGAACACATTTTTACATCTGAGCTCTAAGCCCAGGGGGTTTATGATGGGCACCAGGACTGATAGCTAACCATAGCAGCACAACTCTATGCAGGTGCCCTACTGACATCTTCTAGATGGTGCAAGATTGCACCTCTTTTCTCTTTAATCGAAGGATGCTCATGAGTCTATTACTTGACATTTCATTTCAGAAAATTAAGTTAGGAAGGGATGTCAGTGTTAGTCATCATTAAATGCTAACCAGAGTAACTTTACTTACCAAAAATTTCTATTCTCATTTCTAAAAACAACAACAACAACCATAAAATGTTTGAGAGATTGGTCACGTGAAGCAAATCAGAACTTTGATGACATTAAATCTTCATATTGTGATTTCAAATAAATTATACACTTTTAAATTTTTTATTCAAATTTTGGTTAACATACAGTGCAATATTGGTTTCAGGAGTAGATTCCAGTAATTCATCACTTACATACAACACCCAGTGCTCATTCCAGTAAATGCCCTCCTTAATACCCATCACCCATTTAGTTCATCTTCCACCCACTTTCCTCCATCAACCCTCAGTTTGTTCTCAGTGTTTAAGAGTTTCTTGTGGTTTGTTTTCCTCTCTCCTCTTTTTCCCCTCTATCCATATGTTCATCTGTTTTGTTTCTTAAATTCCACATACGAGTGAAATCGTATGGTATCTGTCTTCTCTGACTGACTTATTTTGCTTAGCATAATACACTTAGGTCCATCCGTATCACTGCAAATGGCAAGATTTCATTCTTTTTGATGGCTGTGTAATATTCCATTGTACCTATATACATCTTCTTTATCCAATCAGCAGTTGATGGACATTTGGGCTCTCTCAATAGTTTGGTTCTTGTTGTTAAAGCTGCTATAAACACTGGGGTACACTACCTCTTCAAATCTTTATTTTTGTATCCTTTGAGTAAATGCCTAGTGGTGCAACTCCTGGATTGTAGAGTAGTTCTATTTTTAGTTTTTTGGGGAACCTCCATACTGTTCTCCAGAGTGGCTATACCAATTTGCATTTCCACCAACAGTACAAGAGGGTTCCCCTTTCTCTGCATCCTCGCCAACACCTGTTGTTTCTTGTGTTGTTAATTTTAGCCATTCTGACAGGTGTGAGGTAGTATCTCATCATGGTTTTGATTTGTATTTCCCTGATGACAAGTGATGTTGAGCATCTTTTTTGTATCTATTAGCCATCTGGGTGTCTTCTTTGGAAAAGTGTCTATTCATGTCTTCTGCCCAAGGAACTTATACATTTTAAATGCACCTTTTACAGAAAATAAAATATCAGTTAGTAGGATATCTAGAATTGGTACTGAAGTTGTATAAAAAGAAATGTGCTTTTTTACAATACCTATTTAGAATGCCTCATAGGTCCACATATATACATTTAATGGCAATTAAACCATATAATATTTTTCATTTTAATGACTACAAAGAAGTTTTATAAATATGAAGCTAACTCATATTATAAGTTTTATATAGTGTAAGCATGTTTCAATTTAATCTGATATTAAATTTACTCAACCAATGTAAGCCCTCGTCAATTCAGGAAGAGTAGTTTTTAGAACATGACCCATACCACGTGAAACTTAACTAGCAATAAAATTGGAATTTTGTTTGATACTGTTAATAGAATATAAATTGTATATTCCATCATATACATATGATATACATATACATATGCATATGCATATACATATACATATAAATGCTACTGCAGCTTTTTAATATAAGACATCACTTAGATATATCTGGTCCCACTACACTTCTGTCATTGTGTATTCTACCTATTCCTTGGAAATTAGGTGAAGGTAATGTGCATAGGCATTTACTCAATATAAGAAAATCAACACTGCCCCTCTGTGCACAACAGGGTATACTTCCTGGCAGTGAGCCCAGATGTCTTGACCCATTTTATTTCTTAGGATTCTCCCTTTGATTTAGAACTATGACAAGGTATTTGACAAAATAGTCTAGGGGCTTGAGTCAGCTGGAAGTCTTCCTTCCAAAGGAAGAGGGAGGAAATGTATTCCCATAACAGAGGTGTCACTTCACTCCCAGAGGAAGTTACCTAATAGTTCCCTGGTAAAGTTACAGACCCCAACCAAGATGGGGACCAGAGCGAAGCAATGGAGGCAACTTGACCCACCCCTGAAAAGTGCCTCGTTAGGTGCCTTCCTCCTCTCATCTATCTTACCCTAGTCCTGGTCTTGCCCCAGCTCGCTTCTTTGACCACTGCATCCAAGTCATGCATTTTATTTTCATTGTGAGAAGTGAATTTCCCCTTTGGCATGAGACAATCTAATTCCTATATGCAATGAGGAGAGTGAGGCTGAAAGATTATAAAATTGCAGGAAGGAAGATTTATGAATTAACTTCTTTGTGTAACATAGGATGGAAGAAAAATTTTACACTAATTCACAAAGAAGAAGCCAAGTTGTTTCCAAATACTCTACAGTCTTTATTTTTTCTACTCAATCAGTTATTGCCAGTGTAATATTTTTAACCTTAAAGCTTTCTCTAGGTAAGCAATGTAAGGAAAGGAGAATTTGAATTTATTTTGCTTCATTGAATCATCAAACTTCACTAATCTTGATGTATTTTCTAGCCAACAAATCAAAGTAATGTCAAAAGCTAAGTTAGTTTTCTGAGTGTTGAGGAATAATTTGAATGTACGAGGTCCCCCCACCCCGCCTCAAAAAAAAAAGAATAATAATACCATGACTGAGTCTGCATACCCATCACTTTTTAATGGATTGTGTTAGTAGTGAAATCAACTGCTGATATAACTCAGAGAGACCCAGCTGCCTGAGGATTTCTTCATTGATTTCAAATGAATTGAAACTTTGATCCATTACAGCATTCAGTAGAAGCCATTATTATACATGCTCTGTAGCTACATTTTGCAAATGTTAATTTCTAAGTTATATTAAAATCAATTTTCTTGAATAGCAAAAGGCACCAGAGTGAAAGAGAAACCAGTAAGACAATTTTTTTGTTCTTGGGCATTTTGCTGTATTATGAGTCTATTAATTTTCCCAACCAGCAGGAAAAGAATTAGAAAAATTCAAATATTATCACAAACAGGATATTAGAAATCAGCCCTTCAGTAAATTTTTAACTCTCAATAACACATTGCTGAGATCTTTAAACTTACCAGAAATACTTGTTTTAAGAGGCTCCTATTCTTTAGCTCTTCATGGTTTTTAGACACTGACCACCTGCTCTTTAGGGTAAAAATTGAAGAAATTACCTTTCTTATATTAATTCCTCTCGTTGACGTGTGAACAAATATTCTACAGGAAAATCAGACAACTCCTAAATGGATTCCAGTACATGCTGCATCATTTTCAGGTGTTATCAGAGATTAATTTAATCTTGAATCAGTTTGAGAATGTGAGAAGTAAATAATACAGATGTAGATTATAGATTTCAGTCCGTTCATTCCAGAGGAAACTGACTCCAGTTTAAAGCAAAACATGAAAAATAATGTGACGTTTGGTGTTATTTAGGGACACTGCATTATTTGATTGCCAGCCAAGAAAAGCCCAGAAGCAATCTAATTGCTCCCTTATCCCAAACCTATCCATTTATCACAGATTAATTGACTGATCTTATATTCGGTACTGTGTTATACTGTCAACGTCTCAAAAAAGTAAATCTTTAGTTTTTTACCATTTCTGGACAATTCATTTGGAATAAAACAGGTAGCTCACTCCATGTTAGTATTTAATGTCTTGCTCAATATGAACAATTTCCCTTTCATAAATACTCTTACATATTTGCTTTCTTTCCTAAAATAAATTTATCAGAGTTGCACATTTATTTTGTATTTCAGCTTATTTCAACACTACAAGCTATATGAGTTTCTATTCTACTCTACCAGGGAAGAAATTGTGATAGGAACTGAGGTAAGTAATTTATCTAGATGGAACCAATTAAGCTGAATCACTTAATGCATGCTGATCGGCATCTGGATCTTTAACTGCTTAAAGCAACTTCTTGTCAAGATTACTCGAGTGTTAATATAACCAACTAGTAGTTTGCAAAAAGAATAATTACATAAAGCAAGCGTTGGATTAAGAAAATAAGCTGTCTTTTCGCATTAAAGGCATTGTTAATCACATATACTTTATGTATTTATGGATTATTTGACAAAGAAAAGCTGAACAGGTTATGTATGTCTTCATACAAAGAAAATTGGGAAAAGTGAGATAAATTAATTCAGTTAAATCTCTTCTAATATCGCATTTTTTCAATCTAATCATTTTTAAGGTCTAATTCAAATCCCACTTCCTCAATGAAGCAAACCTTCCTTAATTGCATCACATCTCAAAGGAAAGGTTTAGACAAACTCTTTAATCACATTCTATTATTTTATTCTGGTTGATCTCTTTCTGCTGAATATTGGCTACTCTTTTTACACGTATAAGCACATAAATATGCACTGTGCTATATGGTTTTCTAATTATTTTTTGTGGATTGATATAGTCAGCACAACTCAACTGTAATTTCCTTGAAGGCAAGGATGAGGTGATGCCTTTCTACCAAAGCATAGTGTAGAATGAACCATAGTGGCCCCTCAATTAATACTACATAAGTGATTCAGTAACATTGAATACAATAGCATTTCTACAATAAATGGTCTACCTTAAGATATTTTGGAACAGCTTTACGTATAATTACATGTTCATAATTGCTACAAATTAATCCGAGGTAAGAAAACATCTTAAGGAGGCTAAAGGTGCCATAAAAAGTGCTCCTTAGGTTCCCAACTACTTGAGAAGTCTATGTTGCCCAGAAGTATCAGACATAGGAGTGGCCATGGTCACAAATAAACAATGAATAGGGGTTCCTGGGTGGCTCATGAGGTAGGTTGGGCGTTGGATTTGGGCTCAGGTCATGATCTCGCGGTCCGTGGGTTCGAGCCCCGCCTTGGACTCAGTGCTGACAGCTCAGAGCCTGGAGCCTGCTTTGGATTCTGTGTGTCCCTCTCTCCCTGTCCCTCCCCCACTCACACTCTGCCTCCCTCTCTCTTTCTCTTAAAAAATAATAAGAATTAACAAAAATTAAATCACATAAATGGTGAATAAAGGGATATTTATGTTATCTTTTTAATTTCTTGATACTAAGCACCAGGTGGAATGTGCCAACTATTATATCTGCCAGGGTGCTGTTGTTCTGGATTTAATAAAATGCCTACTTCATAAACACCTCAGTCACTGTTACTCATCTTCCATTTGAGTACTTGTTCTCATGTGGGCCTTTTAAGTTAATTGAAGGAAAACAAGGAGCCCTTTGTGCCTTTAACTTCTCTAAAATTTCTTCTTTGTGGTCTCCTCATACGAGCTTAAATTAGGTGTCACTTGACAAAGTTTCACTGACAACATTTCCATGAGAGAATTACATCATATAGTGCAACAGGTGCAAAAATTATCAGTTTAGAATACAATGCTATATCATTTATTCAGCAAAACTTTGGGAAAATGATAATGGCTTTGCCAGTAGCATAAGCAGATACTTAGAATCATCAAGAAAAAGTTTCATAAAGGAATTTGAACTCCCTTTTCTCTTTGTTAGTTGCACAATCGTGCCTTTCTTCTTTGTTGTAAGGATATATTTAGGTGACATTTATGCTTATGGAAAGATAAAATGGAGAAAGTAGACTGGGATTGGCACTTTTATTTTCCTTTGTCATTTACATTTTCTCCAAGCTGACCAGAGTTATAAAAAATAATCTTTAATGAAGGGATTTTGGGTCTTCAGGAATTAGGCCACTCTTGGAATTTTAAAGGATTAACCAAAGCAGGTATTATACTATAATATTTAATGACATTGTTGAAGTGTCTGATAACCCTTGGTGCTAATATCTGTTTTTTAATTAACAACCTTTCATACAGGATGCAGAGGCCTGCCCTGTTAATGTGATTATTCATGCTGACCTCAGTGCTCTGAGAGCAAACAAGGTCCACACAACAACTGCATAAATGTTCCAAGTTTAACTCTCAGGCTGGTGTTCAAGTTAAAGAACACTGACAAAATTTAGTTTCTCTCTTAATTGTGGATAGGCAATTATAACAAAACATATAAATCCCCTCTATGAATAATTGTTAAATATTAATTTTAGTTGTTAATAGGACATAAATAAGTCATACTCATACTTTTCTTGGGTTTTAGTTTAAAGGAATTGGTTTTTGCATTTAGCAATTGTTTCTGGCTAATCTCTACTCACCTTTTTCAAAAAAATTCATGTTGTGCTTAGATCATAGAGGCACATTTTCAGTAAATTATTATTCTTGACCTGAGATGCTGCATAATGTAGGAATATTTCTGATAGATAGAGTTCTATAAACGACATGTTTTGTAGTTCATTCAGTGGTTCACAGATCATATACGTTGAAAAGGTAGTAAGCAACCAGAACGAACCAGGATAATGACAGAATGGAGGCAGCAAATACCTGTGGCTGTAGCCACCTGAGAGGATGAAGTGTATGAGTTTCACTCACTTTAAAGACTGCCTTTCAGTCGTTTAAGCCAGCTCACCAAGACTTGTTTTGACAATGCAATTAGCTCACAGATCCTCTGACATAAGAATTGTAAGGGAAACAGACTCTCCTTAGGGGATATGATCTATATCCTTCCTTGGCCTAAGGCCCCATCCAGAGAGAAATCTGGAAACTGCTATGTTCTTTCTTTTGTTACCTGAAAACCACAAATAACATTTAATAATTGCACACAAAAAGAATACTTTCAGGTATTAGCAATGGTGATGATCAAAAACTCATAGCAGATACCCAAAGTCATGGTTCTACTCAGGTATTTAGCACAAGGCATCTACTAAATGATACAACTATAAGTTATTTATTTATTCATTCAACATGTGACCCAGTTCCTATGACATTGTGGGTTTTGTGCTAACTTCCAGAGATACACAGTGATAAGCAACAATTCTTGTCCTCAAGGGGTTGACTGTCTAATAAGAGGAGAGAGGTGATTAAATAATTCATTATAGTATAGGGCCCCAAATATTATGATCCTCTGGGAACAAATAGAAGACAAAGAGGAACACCTAACTTGTAGATTTAAGTTTATAGGGGTTTCTAGGAACAAGTGAAATCTAAGAGGAAATCTGAAGGTTGTGAATGAGATAGTCAGTGTATTGTAAGTTTTTTGGTGCAGTGAAAGAAATTCCACTCAAAATAGTTCAACCAATTAAAAAAAGGAAAGGTGTATTACGTGATCACTAACTGGTAAATACAGGGGTGAGCTGGACAGTGGTTAACTGTAGTCAAACAATGTAGTTAAGAGTGTATGTGTATACACACATATATCTCAATCTTTCATCTCTCTTAGATGTTTTTCATCTCTGATTCTTTTTGCTTTGGTCTCGTTCCCCTCTACTGCAGACAGTCTTCCTCCCAACTGGTGGGAGACCTGATAGAAGCAGCTCTGGTTTAGCACATCTAGGAAAAAGGGGAAATATTCCTCACAGTGTTAACATTATTGGCTATGTTTATGCCACGTGTCCACCCTTGATTAACTACTGTGGCCAGAGGAGTGGAGTAATGCTACCCGAAGACTAAAGTAGAACTTATTGAGTGGGCGACAGAGGATAAAGAAATCCCCAAAAGAAACAGAGAGAGTCTTTGCAAGAGGGATGAGTGATTTTATCAAAAGAGTGAATTAAGCTGACATGTAAAACTCTTCCATCCAAAATCCCATGCGAGGCCAAAAATTTCAAAATCCACAATGCTATGGATAAAAGATTTTATGACATGTAAAATTATAGATTTCTGGTTAGATGAAACCACAGCCCTGTATGCACAACGAAGATGCTACAGAGTTAGTGAAGTTTCCTTAGGCATGCTCAATTGATACAGAAATAGGAAAAGCTTTAGAGGGAAAAAAGCCAAAAGCATGTAGGGAACTGCTTTCAGAGCAACTGCGCCATTCAGCTCCTTCGCTTCTGCTGCCTGTGCAGAGCACAGGGACTCCATAGCATTTTCCCCAAAACTGAAGAAACCACTGTGGACATTGACACCGAAGAGGAGAGCAGTTCTGAGGTTTCCAGGAGAGATCATGAATATACCCTAAATAGAACCTACTGGTGCATCTAGCTACCATTATTATTTGCCCCTCTCCTACAGTCTCTAGTGGCAAGCTATGGCACACAGACATCGCCAGGAGAGTGAACAAGGATTATCTAATGTAAAGATTTTAAATGGCAGCCCCAAATCACCAAGCAGTTGAGGAAAGCAAAATCATAGATAGACATGAAACTCTATGAACAAATCAAAGAATAGCTAAGGAACAGAGTTGATAGAGCAAGTGGTAGAAGACTTGAAGTCCGATTAATAGTCTTAAGAGAGTTTTAAAAGTTGCTGTATTCTTGAAAAATTAACTAATAGAGATCTTGGAGATTTAAAATAAGATTTGAAAACTCTTATTAAGATATCAGGTACAATTTCATGTTGATAGGTTTGAAAATCTACAAAAAAAACAGTACTCGGAACTATACCAATATTTACTTAAAAGAATATTGATGATCTTAGTAAAATGATAATTATGTAACATATTGAAAAATCCAAATGTAAAAGTGGCATCAGACCTAGACAATTTTACAGGCTAGTTTCACCAAAATTTCTAAAGTAGATCATTCCCTTTTATGTAAATTGTGATAGAGGATAGAAGGAGATGGAGAACTTTCAACTCATTCTTTGAAGTTAGTATAATTCTGAGAATGTTTCAACTTATTCCATGAATTGGTAATGAATTATAACCAAAAGTAAAAAAGAATAAAAGTTATGGGCAATATCAGGTATGAAAATAGATGCAACAATCTTAAATAAAATATTAGGAAGTGAAATATAGCAGAGTATTGGGTCTTCAAATAGGATATATTCCACATATT